GGTTTAACAAACCAATTTATATTGCTCAATCTTGATTTGCACATATGTATCGTAAATGAATTGCATTCTCAAAAAATATCCTAAAACTTGGTATTGATTGACACAAGACAGATTTAATAGGATTTGTAGGGAAAACAATACATGTAGTAGTAAATACACAAGCTACCACTACCTTGTGAAAGAAATGGTACTACTGGCTCTTCAGTTATTCACTTTGTATGATTATCAACTGATTGTTATTGATGCTCATTATGGTCACTAAAGAGTATTTAACAGTCCAACAGACCTGCATTTCTGTCGAAACTTTACCTTAATGAATTCAGTGACAGTTTCACACTGTAATGTTTGTCAGTATACACTTAAAGAGTTTTCTGATTTCCTCGCTTTGAAAGGTTTTTATTACGGCCATACATATACGTGTGGTTCATTTTTCATATGAACATGAGTTTAACTTTATATACATCTACATGCAATGTAAATTTTTTTCATTCCATTCTATTTCATTTCAGGAATCTTGCTCTTACTCGAGGAAAAGTGTCAAAATTAACCAGCCTTCTGCACACATCAACAGTCTTCAAAGAAGCTTTTGAAGCTTCATTTGGTGACAAGTCAATACCAAGTTCAAACAGCACAAGATGGAACAGCACAGTCCGAAACCTTAAAGCCATCCTCAACTTGGATCAGCGCAAGCTTACAGAGGTCTGCTCCTCAAGGTGGGACCATCTTGTCTTGTCAACCAGAGAATGGAGCCAACTGAAGCAGCTGACAGAAGTGCTCCAGCCGTTCATGGAGGCAACTGACATCACCCAGGGGGAATCAGCAGTCAGTATCAGCTACATGTATGTTGTACCCACAGTTTTATCCTTGTACTTTGGGCTGTTGCAGATTGAAGATAGACGTGCTGACTACCACTGCAAACCACTGGCTGTGGCACTGAAAAGCTCCCTCATCAAACGCTTCAATGGGATATTTGCTAATGTAGGGTACGTAAGGCACACAAGTCTTCACTGGTCACGGTTGGTTTCAAGGGGAGGAAATCTTCATCTTTTAAAATACAGATCTTCGTTTCTGTTATTGTAGCTTAAAATCTTTAAATCGCAAAAAAAGAAGCCAGTACATGTAGTCATAGTATGATGGTTATCAAACATTTTCAAAAGAATTTCATGTTTGCATTTGGAAACAAGCATTTCTCCGGCCGATTTCGCAGATGAAAATTCAGAAAATGACAATAAAAACTCTAGATTTCTAACGGAAATATTGCACACTTTATCCCCATTCTTCAAGTTTTATATGCAATGTAATGTTTTATTCAAATAAATGCTTGATTTCAGAATGCTTGAAGGACACCCCAAACAGAACGATGCATTCTGTGACAAGTTGTACTTGTTTGCAGCAGTGTTGGACCCACGGTTTGCTCTTCACTGGGTTGACCTTTATGTCGGTTGCAGCAGTGATGACAGACCTACTAGGAAGCAGCTGAGGAAAGATGTCAAGGCAGAACTGAAGGGCAGGCGTGAATCTGTCAGTAAAAAGGGCTGTGGCCATGCTGTTTATACTCTTGTCATCCCCAGAATAAATTTTCATGCTTAGTTTCTCTTCTTTTAGTGATATGTATTAGAATTATAAGCTTGTCAATAAATGGCATGCATATCACCAGTAAGTCCTAAGTTTTGTGGCATGGTCTTCCTTTTACCTTTATCTGCTCAAAACATGCTTGAAACTTAATGGAATCCATGTAAATGTACAATCACAATAATTATGCAAGTTCCTTAATGCTTGTACATGTCATGCATCTACATGTAATATATTTTGCTTGTTATTGTTTTGTTATATGTTAACCCTCAAGAGCCCCCTGCATATGTAAGAGGTGTGCCCCCCTTTTTTTGTTTACTAGTCCCCTTAAAATTTTACTCTTTATTGTTTTCTTTCTTTTGTCTGATACACCCCCAACCACTTTTTGTTTTTGCTGTTGGAGTTTCAACTTGGTTTAGCCCACTATACCTGTGCTTACTGTAGACAGTTAGATCCCCTTCTTAAAAGTGGAGTGACCCTGGATGGGGTGGTGTACTGGTCAGGGTGGTGTGGTCCAGCATGCTTCAGTGCTGTACCATCCCCTACCTATTCCAACCACCTTGTCTGTGTTCTCTCCTTTTCAGCCGGCCAGCAATCAAGGGTCACAAGCCTCCCCCACCCCCATTACACGTGTCAGAAGTGGGATTGTTGGCACCTACATCATGGAAGGAGAGAATGTGGTTAATGGTGGACCGGCACCTGCAGCCCACCACATCAGCTTCGTGCCAGTTGACCTTAAGGTCAATGTCTTTGCTAGGTTGAAGCAGAGCGTCAATGATCCTACCGTTGAGGATTGGGTTGAAGATATGTGGTCGCTGTTAAAGACCTGGAACACACCGATTGACCAGCAGTCCCAAGTGCTGATCAAGTATTTGGGAGGGGAGGTGAAACGAGAGGTGCTGGTCATGCCGCAGGAGGAGCGACGTCGGGCAGACGACATTTTTGCTCGACTTCTAGACACCTATAGAGACAGGGTAGCCGCTGCGGCGCTCCTGCAGATGTTTCACAGCAGGAGACAGAAGCCTACGGAGACACTAAGGGAGTTCTCGCTGGCATTGCAGGAAATCCTTGGGGGCTGAGACAATGAGATCCAGAAGCTGTCAACCGGCCCGACTCCTGAGGGACCGTTTTGTCACCGGTTTAGACAACGTCGAGGTCCAGCGCATTCTGAAGATGGAACTCCGCGGGAGACCAGACATGTCCTTCAGGGACGTTACCAGCGAGGCCCTTCAATTGGCTGCTGACAGAGGAGAAGATGCCGGTGTGAAGGCTGCCAGTGTCCCCCAGGCCCGCTCCCCGATGCAGATCCCCCAGGACCCCTCTCAGATGCAAATCCTCCAGGCCACCCTTGAGAGGACTGTCCAACAGCAACAGGAGATGGCAGAGATGATGGCAGCCATGAGGTTGGAGTTAAACTAGCTCCGTTCCAACTCCTCATCTGCCAAAGTAAGGAGACCCCCGAGACGGCAACCCAGATGGGACAACCAAGGAAACCCGATCTGCTTGAGATGCGACAGACCCGGGCACATGGCAAAGGAGTGTGACACAAGTGTACAACAAATAAGTGGAACTGCCAACCACAAAATTTAGAAACATGTCTGCACACGTTTGCTGTCTCTTGAAAGAGCATTAGAAAGACTATTGGAACAATGGCCAGCATTACTGGAGTACTTCAAGAGAGAGGTAGCGACTACTCATAGGTCACAATCAGGAAAAAGAAAGAGTCCAAATGTGTCAAGTCAAGCATGTAAGAAACAGAAAAAGACTGTCAACCCTAATGCGAGAACAATTGTTACCAGTAGTCAACGTTCAAAGAGCACAAGCACAACTTCCGTTGCAAAGAGCAGCAGTGCACCAAAAGCATCTCAAGGAAAGACGGGTACCAGTGTCAGTGTTCAGAGTTCAACCTCTGGAGAACAATCTTCTGATATATCTAAGAGCAGTGCACCTAAACCATGTACTGGACAGAGCAGTGCACCATCTACCATCTATCAGTCATCTATCTGACTGTCAGTACAATGATCCAGATAACCTAAGAGCAGATTCTGACTTGATTTTGGGACAGGAAGTAAGAAACTACATAAGTGAACATCAGTTGACATCAAGTCAGTTGAGCAGCTTTTATGCATCTGTGAGAAAGTACTTCACCACTGTGTGTGACTATGTGATTAGCACATTCCCGCTAAATGATGAACTGTTGCAACATGCTAGTGTGGCTAATGTAAGAACAAGACTTGATGCCACATTCACATCAGTTTCATATTTTGTGAAGCGATTTCACTTCCTGGAGGACAAGCTGGATGAAATGGAGACCGAGTTTGCACATAACCAGAATGACACTCAGGTGGACTCACTGGTGGAGACAAGAGCAGATGAAATGTGGATTAAAATCTCATTTATGAAGGACTAAGCAACAGGTCAACTTCAGTATCAATATCTGCCCAAATTGATGCAGATGATACTTTCAATAAGCCATAGCAATGCTAAAGATGAGAGAATATTTAGTGTGGTATGCAAAAATGCAACAGAATTGCACCCTAACCTAAGCACACCTGTACATGTACTCTCCAATTCACTTGTATCAAAGATATAGGGGAGCTGCAGTTGTTCCTGTGCATCAACAGGACTATAAAGTCAAACTGCTACAAAAGTGTAAAAGTGCAACTGCCAACTATGTCAAGGGAAAGTAATAATATTAGCCTGCAAGACCATAATCTGGTAAATGAATAAAGTGATGATATTTAAAACTACATGTATGTACACAAGTACATGTATGTTACATGTACCACGAGGGCAATTATTATTTTACATGACTGTGTAAGTCACATATACTCTATCCAGAAGTGGTTATATATGTAGTGGCCTTGAAAGGAGTACAAGTGACTTGTATCAATGATACTACATTGAGGTGTGCAGGTCCATATTACTCAAGAAAATACAGTTTTTGAAGTTTAAGAGTACAGTTTTTTTATCCAGCAGGTTAGCATGTTTGACAGAGGAAACTGGTCTGTAATGTCCAATTGTATTTTTCACTTAACAGTAAATATGAAAATTTTGTACAAGTGCATGACATTCAAATATGGCATAGCTGGTATACGTAAAGGTCACAACAATACATGAAGTAACAAGGCACCCTATCTTGTTCCGACTTTGGTCTTATTCATCCTTGTTCTGTCTTTTTGTTTTAATTCCATTTTACTCCTAGATCTCCTCCTGTCAGAAGTAGAGACACTTCCAGTGGCAGACATCCATGATTCTAGCACCGACAGCGAAGGAGATGACGAAGACGACCAAGGTCCATACCCAGTGATAGTGCCATGCCTGTTTGCTGGACTGACCAGGAGAAGAAATCAGAGTGGGTGAGGTTCATCTTCATCATTTTATCTTCGTTTTTTGTAGCTCCATGGTGAACTCTCTGTTGTGGATATAATTATGAAATCATTCTCTATTAAATTTATGTACTTAATTTGATAAGTAATTAAATATTTCCAGTCATTATAAACTAATAAGTTTGAGTGTTAAAGTGAAACTGTCACTGTGTCAAACCTTTTTCCTTAACGTTGAATGGACTAGGGCAAGTTTATTTTTAATGATCGCCAGCTGTGTGCAGGACTACCTCGTTGTCTGGTTGTCACACTCAGAAAACTTGTCACGTCTTCATCGCTGCGCTGCTTGATTTCTGTACGTTGTTATGTTATAGCTTCACAATCTTCTTGATTGGAATTAAGATTTCTTCAAGATTAACATTAGAACTGATAAAATGCCGCCGGGAAAATGTTCCTTCAACGACCGTTGGCTGCAAATGCCAGAGTATCGTGAATGGCTACAAAGAGATACCAAATACAGCTGCATGTAAACTTAGCATGAAGACGTTTGATGTTTCAAACATGGGTGAACGAACCAGCTTTAAGAAGACACGCAAAAGAAAATAAAACACAAGAAGCTTCTTTCAGACAAAGTGGAAAGGAGTGACTACTCCATCAGAGATTTTTCAGCAGAAAAACAACCAGTGATACAGCAAGTTCTGCAGCTAGGCCTACCCAACCACCCGCGGAACAGGCCGATCCTACCATGCAGCCAAAGTCAAGCACCAGCTTAGCCTCACTTGATTCATTTGTAAGCGGATTGTATTCGGATTGTCTCAAGGCGGAAATCAACTGGACTCTGAAGGTTGTCAAGTCACATTACTCCTTCAATCCATCGACCGGTGTGAAACAAGTCTTTGCTGAGATGTTTCCTGATTCAGAAATAGCTAAACAGTTTTCTTGCTCAGAATGAAAGTGTTCTTACCTCTGCGACTTTAGGATTGCACCCCACTTTTGGGACATACTATCCGAGAAAATTGGCGACCAAGGCAGGTTTGTTGTGCTGTTTGATGAGAGTTTAAACCAGAAAGCCAAATGGAAACAGATGGACCTGCATGTTCGGCTCTGGGAGGATGGACATGTATGTACATAAGGCCTACGTATTTTCTTGCATTTTGTGTTAAATTTGGTTATCAATTCAAGGAATTCATGGCAAGAATTCTGTAGGGAGTCAGTTCAATAACATGATTTGAACATTAAAGTTGCACTACATTGGTGTCTTGACAACAGATGACCCTAGATGAGTATAAGGATTACCCACATACAGAAATTTTCCGATTCCATTTGCTGGAACAAGGATTGGCAGAACTGAAAAAACCTGTTGAATTGGGCCAATGTGGAGTTATTGCTGTTTATACTACGGACATGGGCATTTATTTTGTGCTGCTAGTCTAGCATACTGGACAATCCAGAGGCTGTTCATTGGTTGTTTCTTTGTGCTGCAGGTGTGCTCACAATGGAAGTGGACATGAAAATATTCAACGGCATTGGAAGGATAAGAGCATAGCATTATTAATGTTGTTTTACAGGCCATGACTCACTACTACACGTCTGTGCTTATGGGTCATGCAACTGCTCTGGATTAGGTGGTTAGCACAGAGAGCTTGAATTTTAACAAAACTCATCCAGATATCCATGGATGGATCAGATGTTAACTGGAAATTCCACCAGTCGATGCAAGACAAGCTACTGACCCGAGTATGGCAAAACCCTTCTGAATAGTTGGAGCTGTGGGCTTCACACAATCCATGGTGCATTTACAAATGGGTGTGTGGCCTCTGGATGGCCCATTCAGAAACTTCTCTTGAGCAAGTACAGACAATTCAAAGATACTCCAGCAAGACGAGAAGACTACACCAAAGCAACTGGATCCCACGTCTTCCCTGCCAAATTATGCAGTCATCATTCGGTGAAAAATGTGCCAGTGGTAGAGAAAGCGACTGAGATATGGCCAGATATGAAGACCTATGTGGAGAAAGTGAAAGCCCAAACTGTGCCAAACCCAGGAACTGTATCATTTGATACAGTAGCATCTTGATCCAAAGATAAGTTGATGATGGTGAAACTTCACTGCTTCCTGTTCCTTGTGAAGACCGACGGGCTAATGATGCCCTTGGCTCAAGAACTGGCGACTGCTGTTGGGTCTCCTGAAGAGATTTGTCAAGAAGGAATTCATACAGGAGGCAGATTCACTGGCCAAACTGATGAAACTTGATCCAGAGGACAAAGAAATACATTGCAATACCACCAGTGTAGATGTAGGTTTCTCAGCCAGATAAGAACCGAGGAAGCTAAAATCACCAAGCAATCCAAAGATCAGCGAGGAGGCCATCGAGGTGAAACGGGAATGCAAAGCTTTTCCTTGTAAAAACCACACTCAAGCTTCTGCTCAAGTCACCACTGAAATATGCGATGGTCAAGTACATGGCATGTCTCAGTCCAGTACAGATGGCCACAGCCAAAGATGAATGTGTCACCAACATGAAACAGCTGATGAGTGCACTGGTGAGAGCTAAACGAATCAAAAGTGGCTTATCTTATGATGAATGTCTTGATACAGTTTCACAGCCCGACAGTCATTCAGTATTTCGTAGCTTAGACCCATTCGAAGATGTAAGCAGCATAGATGCTCTGTTCTCCGAGGCCATGGCTAGAAACAAGCAATACAAGAAACTGTGAGGTAGGGTGCAGGATCTCCTCCTTGTGTCTCATGGGCAAGCTACAATTGAGAAGGGATTCTGTCAACAAACAAGCCTGAAAACGAGCAAGAACAGTCTGCCATTGCAAAATGGCAGATCTGCCATCACATTGAGAGTGTTCGGGGGTATTCTGCATGAAGACCTCTACAAGAAACTTCTAGTTTTGCTGCATCTGCACGTCAGAAATACATGTACTTTTTGGAGGAACAAAGAAAACAGATGGAAACCAAACAAAATGAAAAAAGGAAAACACCGATGGAGAACATCGAGTGTCTGAAAAAGGAGAAACAAAGGCTAGAGGCAGACATAAATGCACTAGTTCAATCAGCTGACAAGTTTGCTGTTGAAGCTGAGTCATCGAGCAAGCTGACATAGATCAGTCAAACACGAAGAACAGCAAAGACAAAGCAAGTGGAACATGCAGATGCCACTGCGTCTCTTCAAGCTTCAGTTGACAAACTTAGGCAAAAACACTACAAGTGAAGAGGTAAGTAGCCAGTTATACAGAAGAATAAAACAAAAGTAACAGTTATTTCAGGTACAGGTTGGTATGCACTTACTGCACTGTATTGCGTTACTACATGTATATTGTATTGATATATTGTATTGCATGTCCAACCTGAATTAAGTCCTGGGAAAAATCAAACTTTTGACTTGGAAAGTCCTAGATTATTTTTTTTCACAAGGGTGTATGAACTCTGGTATTTGAATATTCGATCACCAACTAAATACTTGAAGAGTTATTTGCTGGTGTAAATATGGTATAAGTAGTAATGGTGTAAGTCGTAAAAAACGTCTGACACATGTGCCTTTATGTGATAGTATGTTAACAGTAAAGTACTTACAGGCACACTAAAAACAATGTGACTAGTACTCCATAACATTGACTACTACAAAAAAAATGCCAAACACGCCACTTGCAACATTTTACCCAACATGGTATGCCGTTTACACTGGCACAAGTTTTAAAAACATGATTGGTACATTTAGGATATTCTTTAATACAAGTTGAAACTAAATGATAGAACTGTCGAAAATGAACACAACTATCTTAAGACCTTTGGTCTCAAATTAGACACTAGCTACGTATATTCAAATGAACTGTTAAAACAGTAGACCTTTGCCATGTTGGACTGGCCCAACATGTTGGGACTGGCCCAACATTAGGTGGGATGGGACGGTTGCCTACGACCTTCCACCGGGCCATAGAGATGTGTGATCAAACCATACGGTATGACCACAGACTGGAATTTGATTGCATGGATTCTTCTGTATCCACTGTAGCAAAGTGGCTGATGACAACTTGCCCTACAGATTGGACGAACTGTCCCATCAACAAAACCAGTACAATTTTGTAAAGGTGCGCCCTAGTTGTGAATGGCATCTGTATAAACTTGTAGGTGTGCTGGATCAAGCCCCTGGTTCTCAAAAGACAGTAAACAATAGTGATGAGAAGTGTATCGGATGTCCACAGTCTAGTTGATGATTAGAAACAGAGTTGATTTTGGTCAACCGAACAATTCTTCCAAGTCCGAAAGACGATTTGGATATGCAAATCTTCTTAAAACTACACAGACAGCATTGATGCCACTGCAAATCGAAGCATTTTTCAGCGTACGAGTTTCTGGAACACCAAGTAAATTAGTGATGCGATAAATGTTATTTCTCGTGAATCTGAACTTGTCGAAACACTGATTGTCTGTAAGTTTTGACAGGTCAAAGCTTGGCCACACTGGATTGCAAGTCACTCTTTTTGGTTAAAGGTGCATTTGCTGACGAAAGTTAAGTCATCGTTCTCAATCGCTAAAATCAATCAAGTCGGGGTGGCCGCTGCCATCTTTAAATCCTCACCGAAGAGCCCTCTGGCATGTCCGAAGCTCACCATTCTAAATGTAACCGTGCATGAAATACGAAACCATAAACACGAGCCATCTGGGGTGTCCTTACCGCGTTTTACAGCTATTCGTAGTCGTCTTTCAAACCGTGCGCTAACGAAACCTTTCTATTGACACATTTTTGTCCGAAATAACTGAAAAAGTGGACAGTGTAGTTGGTTTGTACCCGTTGTTGCAGACTGTGAAGGCGCCGGCGGACAAAGCATACTACTCAACCTACTAAGGCAGGGCACTGGATGGACGAATAATTACAACATATTTCTCCGTCTCGTGTAATCAAATGATTGTACGTTTTGATCAACACATACCCAAGCAGCTTAGTAGGTGTGATCATTATAAAGAATGGACTCTAAACAATTTCATTAGAATTAAGGTACAGTTAACTTCCATCGTATTTGGTAGGTGGCTGTTGTATTGAAATTACTACGGCTTCAGCCGATTCGTGACGGGTGAACGATGGGAATTAAGCAAGCGACCCATCATCTCCATGGTTTTCCCCTAAGATTGTTCTGTTTTTGGATTTAAGGTACGGGGAGAGCGCGAACGCAGTCCCCACTATCAGAAATTGTACTCCCGAGTTCCCCACATTTGGGGGAATCGCACGGGTCAACCCGCCGAAGTGCAATGGCAAGGCCTCGCCGTGGGAGAACCGCCTGCTTGATCACGGTATCTCCTGAGCCAGGTAAGTATGATTATTGGAATGATTTACTGGCTCATATACTTCACCGTGCAACACCACAATCACAGTGTGCTGCCAGCCAGCAAACCATCAACAGAAGCTGTGGTTTTGCCCAGTAGATCACGCATGCGCAATTTTCACAGATACGGCCTATGTAAATTTCGCGGTTTAGCTCAACGTGCGATTCGAGACCGATCGACACACAGTACATGTACTGTACAATGTGCAAGCACAACGATCATACTAAAGTACACGTACATGTTATTTATCTAGACCAAGTTTCCTACGATGTCATAATCGTGCTGGATGGACCGCGATGTGTTGTGATGGTAATGAGTGCATAGTGCTGTGATGGTAATCACTTATTCAAGATAAACTGGTCAACCATGCAGCGTTCGCACGTGCGCTTTTACAAGGTTGAAACTGCAATGCGGTAACTGTGGCCCAAGCAGTCCATATGCGGTAATATTTTTACATTCAGTGCAATCCAGTCACGTGGGCTAAAAAGGTATGCAAAATATCCACGTATACGTATGTATCGCAGAGCCTAGCCGCTCATGGAATGTTTTTTTGGTCCGCATGTAATAATGTAGACTTACACATACATGTACAGCCATGTTCATAATACCTACATTAAAAGGCATCTTTTAAAGAGATTTTGAACAGGTCACTTCCAGTAAGGTGAGTTTACTTATGTTCGGCTACGTCAGAAATTAAATAACTGGAAATCAAGCTAGAGACGTGTTCGTTCCATCGACAACCGTGCCTTTTCTTGCACTACTCAAACCCACAACGGCCGTATCTCACTTGGCTGCGACAGCTCGCGACTATTCGGGGACACAAAAAAAAAATGCGAGAAAATCCGCGAATCTAGCCACAATTTTCTCTTGGACTCGCACTGATTTGGTACTTATGACACATTAGTATGTCGCACGAGTTGCCAGCAAACTTTCGGCCAGAAATCGCCGACGAAATTGTGAATATTTTATGTCTCGCGCCTGGAATGTCAGATTTTCATTTTTTAAAACAATCAGTCACAGTCTTTTTTCACAGGTCACCAACCCCTTACAAAGTTGTCTCATATTTCTTGCACTTTCTGACTCAAACAGTCGCAGCCCAGTGAGGCTTTACCCAATTAATTGGACTGGCAAAAAACTTTCTTGTCGGAAAAAGGACTTTGTGGAATCAGCTGTCTATTCGACAGTTGAAGAAAATGGAGAGAGGGACAGAAAACAAAGCGCCAGTGTTTGTTGCTTGTCCTGAAGTTGGACTTACTGCATGTGATTTCGAGGAGACTGAAACGGAAACAAACTGCCTCCGTTGGAGGGTTAAAGCAGAGCCAACTAATTCAAATGTAGTGCATGTATAGCTAAAGGGACCAATCCAAAGAAACGGAAGTGAAAGTTTGCATCTGCGTCGCTCAGAGACTTCAAATGTTCCGGTCGGTGGGAATGGGACCAGGAGGCCGCAGTTGTACCCATCTTCACAGAGGTGAACTGCTAGCCATTGGCCTTCAACAAGTTTTAACGGAGCCCCATATAGCACATGCACAGTCATAACACGTTCGTGTTTCTAGAACCATTTAAACATTAGGCCTTAATCATGTGAACTAGGAATGAAACAATACCCGTTTGTCTCTTGCTGTCTATCTGTCCTTAATCAGAAACAAAAGTTGAAGTAAAATTTTTGATGATTTCCGTTTGTTTACCGTCATAAGGTATCAACTTCTGATTTTGCCTTTGGGTAGAAATCTCGAAACGTCAGACTTTCCTACTTTTTTCAGTTCATAGTTTGATCACGGATGACATAATTTGCTGATAAAATAATAGAGTGGCAAGCCTTTCATGTCGCCATTGCATGGTCTTATCGATAAGTCACGCCGTTTACGTAAAAAGATTTCTTGTAGAGGATGATTGAGGTACTTTCTGTATCGTGTAGGCTACATGTATAAGGAATCCCGTCTCGGAAAGATACAGGGATTACGTTGAGGTTAGCTCGAACATTCGAGCAAATATATTGCCCACCAACCCTCGCTAGGCAGCACGTACACTCACTGCATACGCAACGGGCATGGCGAAACCATGCGCAGATAGCACCAACCAAGCGATAACGGAAAGGACTGACGGCAAATGTGTCACGTGATATTTGGATTTACCACTCGGTATGCCCATTTTCGGTCGATGGCTTCCCATAAAAATTATGGTGTGCTATAGACGATAAACAAAGATCCTCCAGACCATGATTAAAAGTCAGTAGTTCCGTTCTTTAAGTACATCCCCCCACTCAGTCCTGCCCTTCTTAAAATGAAGGCAAGTTTTAGGACGGTTATTTCACCTACGACAGCAGGATTTCGCTAAGGGGACAGGGGGACACACGTCCTTTCCAGGGTTCATCCGGGGTCCAGCTGCCCGGTTAGTCTTTTTCTCACACCCATGGAGCCTGTATGTAAAAGACTGTAGAGGTGCATGAATACAGAAACTTATTTATTAGATTACAAAGAATGCCCCTACACGTACATTGAAATACATGTAATAAACTAAGAGTGACTGTTAAAATAACCGTCTCCTATTCTTTGTGCTTAATCTTTAGTTCCACCATGCTGACACTGCTGGAGATAATTGGTACCACAACTTACAAAAATGTTAATCGAACCAACAGTTTGCCCCCCCAAAAAACACGTTAAAACCCTTTAATATAAACAACTTATACAAAAGAATGTTGTACCCTGTTACAAAAACTGTTGGTAGTGTAACACTGTTACACTACCAACAGTTTTTGTAACAGTTGTAATGTGAACATGGGTTTTAGATCCATGAGAACTTTTTGTCAAATTTTGCCCAATCCAAGTGTAACTGCTCCTGGCTGAACGAAACACGACTTTTACTATCAAAGGTGTTTGCAGTGGTTTCACAGTTAATGTTATTTACTGACGGTAAGCTGCTGTAGGTATGTAGAACATGCCCAGCTACTTGCATTTACTATTTCTTGCTCTACTTTGAGTGTCCTGCTCCATCTCGGCAGCATAGAGGACTTTGTGGACTTGGAATTTCACTCTTGACCTGAGAGGAGGGGGTAGTTTCCTGCAAATGGCTGCCATTGACTGGAAGAACATGTCATCTTCGTCCCCCTGCACTGCCCTGTGCTGTCTCTCTTGGAATTGGTAAGACTCTTCCTTTCTCTGTTCCCTGGAATCCGAGTGCAGGGGTACTGGGGTCGTGAATGAGTTCTTACTGCTGGTGCCATCCTGCTGGGCTTCGCTGGGCTCACCTTGAAGTTCACTATCTTTATCGCTCCCACTGCAAGCGATCTCATACTCAACATCCGAGTCGTCATTCGCCGTGATGTTTCTCTGTCTGTTATTAAAAGGCAAAGCAAAAGATGCACAGAACAATACAGTCCTGGGTATCTTTTTGAAGAAGCATAACAACTGCTGTATGGAATGAACTATGGCTGAGTCAATTCAAATAAATGAATATCTGAGTACACATATTCAACCTTCCAACTGATCAAAGATTGGAATGTATAGTTGTACTAAATTCACACAAAGCGGTAACAAAATTTACATATTTTACAAGATTAAAAAAAATCTTAAAGAAAAAAGTAATTTTGGATCTTATTGTTGAACAGATGCATATCATTAAGCCACATCCAAATTTTCTCGTAACGAAGATATCCCTGCAAACTGCAATTTCGTGACCAAATAATTGAATTTTCCCATTCATTTCACTTTGATTTCAAAATATTTGATTTGAATATAAATATATAAATGTTCGATATATGATTCAGAATCCATATACATGTATTCGAATAATCATTACAGCCCTAGAATTGACCATACGATTAAGGTTAAACTGGAGTATTATGCATTGTGCAGTGTGTACCTTCTTAACTTAAGGTACGGCTGTAGAAATTCCAGAATATGTTGGTATTTGTACGGTTTGACCTTCTTCCCCGCCTTGCCACTTTTCATCTTTTGCTTGTTCTTGGACCTCACAAAGGCATCCCAGATGTCTTTCCATCTCTTGGCAGCTTGTGTTCCTGATGATGCATGCGAACCAAGAGAAAAATAATTTACTTTTAATAAATTAATATCATGTTATTGCTTTCTTTGCAGGATCCTGACAAGGGGTGACTCATACAAGAACATACAAGTTATGGGGTTGGAAATGCCACTGTCTCCTACTGAAACCCTACCTAATGCAACTTATATCTTGGAAGAAATAACCGTATACAAATCTTCAGTTACAGACTTTCATATGCTAAGCGAATCGGGAAACCATGTTGGCTGCCTGACAGCAACTGTACAACAGGAGAATACAATTCCATCCAGAAATAGACAATAAAATCAAAGCAACATGCATCCTACTTTACTGCCCCAATAATAAGAAAACCATCAAATCCAGACAGGTTTTGAGGAAGTGTGCAACACAGATTCCTGAAGTGAAAACTTGGAGCATGTTGTGCCCCACGAAAAGCCTTTGAAATACATGTACGTGATTGCTTCATAAAACAAGTGTCTAAACCTTGTAAAGTCAGCAGGCAGAGAAAATGATGCATACTTCGGACGAGAGAGAGAGACCGACTACAGATCCTGAGTTAACCTGAGTTTATACTTCTTCATTCACACTTCTGTTAAATAATCATCAGTTTAGGCCTAATGATGATTTGCAAATTGAGCATTTTAAAATTAAAATCAAGTAAAAATAGCCTACTGTAAGGAACCAAAGGATTTAAAAAATCACTGACCCCACATAAAGATCGAGGAAACAACTGAACGTGACACTGAAATGAGTAAACCAAGCAAAAGAATTTGCACATACAACATGTACAACATGCATGACATGTACATACCTCGATGACTATTGTATTGGCCTGCTGTCGAGTACTTCACAGGCCCAGTAGGCCTACCTCAGTGTACATGTACGTTTTAGCCAGGACAAGTATCGTGTCTCGCACGTGTGCACGTACACGGTACAGTACGACTACGAATGCGTGCATGCACTAGGCCCAAACTCATCATGCATAATAGGGCCTGCGCCCACTACGGATATGACTGAATGAAATGTCTTTCAATTCCTTTTTTTTCATCACCTGGCATGTCCAGTCTCGCCCCAACAGTCTCCCATACATCTCGCTTTTGGAGAGCACCTTTCCAAGTATTCAACGACGTGTCATATAATAGAGGGTGCCTTTGGACTTCGAGTATTAAGCTCTCGTTGCTGTTTCTCTCGTGCGCCGCCATGTTTGTACCGAGGTGGCGCAACCAGTGACGTCACACTGAACGAAACCTCTGATTAGCTAGGATTTGGCGCCCCGCGTCAACGCGTATCATTGGGGGAAAATGGCTTCAGCTTTTCAAACATTGCGGTTCATTAGTTCATCTCAATAGTTCATTTCCGTTAGTTGCAGGAAAAAATAAACATTCTAGCGAAAAGCCATCAGCAAATTTGATACCTTCACGCCTTTCTCTGCCACTCTTTTGAAAGATTCGAATTGTATCAAAATGTAAATTCTCCACGAAAAGAATTTTAGGCCACCTATTACAAAGTCTCGATTTTTTCAAGGATAAAAATGTGTTAAAACTACCGTGTAAATAATATTTGCCTTCTAGTCTGATCCCCCAAAGTGCAAAAAGTACATATTTTATGGGTATGAGACATAGAGCAAAATCAATAACTTTAATGTAAATAACCCCCAGAATCGGACATCCACATCAGAAAAGTGCGACAAAAATATACGTGTCTATTAGGAAACCATCATTTGAATTTTAGTTTCCAGCATTTGTGTAAATAATGGGCAACTGCCCATACGGTCTTGGAGAGGCTTCGCCAGATCGAACGCAAATCTCGTCTCGCTTTCCTCTGATCAAATGCTATATAACTTTTTTTAAGGGAGAATCTGTCGTCTTTCCCGATTCCCGCTGCCTTGTTTGATAAACTGAATTTCTCTGAATTTAATTGTATGGGGAGACCGCGAACGCACCCTAACTAGGCTACCCAAAATTGCACCCCGAGTTAATATTGGGACCATAACGGACGTGGGGTCTACGATCCGGTAGTATAATAATCTCAGTCTACATTTCCGCGTCGCGTCACACTGGGCCCGCTACAGTCTAATATAACGTGTCGCACCGGCGAAAAAGGCTGCTTGCATTATACTTGGTGTGTGTGCGTTTCGTTCATTAATTTTTCGATTTGAAACTGAAAATAAAAAATATTTCATTGTAACCGGTTTTTTCCGTCTGTGTTTTCGTTACAGGAATATGTTCGTCGCTTGAACCCATTTCCAGGATCGGTAAAAGTGGAAAAGCTGAGTCAGCTCCTCTCACACATTGCCGTATATAAGGATAAGCTTTCTCTGTTAAGACAAGAAGCTCGGTGATTGAGGCATGGAACCAGCTAGAAGAACATGACAAGAGTTCCCAGAAATTTCAGTCCCGCCATAAGTCTCGTTGGGGGAACACATTGTATGGCCGAACGAAAGGGGATCTTGAGGAGGCAGCCATAAACACAGCAAGTCAAATTCCGAAACCGTTATACACCAACATAGGTAATTGATCAATGTGAAATGAACTAGGCTTATGCACTGCGTCATGAAGCGCATCTGGTGTTGCGTTCTGGTGACGTCTCATCGCCTGGGAAGTCAAAGATTACTAACCAGTATGTTATGAACGCATGCAGCAAAGAGTAATGGAAAGGGATTCCATCTTATGCAAACTGAATATTCCTCTTAAAGTAAACTCAAAATGTGTCTGGGAATACGTTTTCTTAGAGGTTTTTGCAAGCACAAATGCAACAAGTAAAGGCAACATCATTGCATAACCACAGTGTATCAACTGACCAACTACCTGATGCCCCAGAGCTACCGTGGAAGAACCAGAGACAACATACGTGGACACTGAGATACCCAGCAAATGTGACGAAAGCAAGACATGATGCAAGTTGCCATCCGTCCACTGTTTGGTCTTCTGGTTTCTAAACTGAACCCTCAACTGCTTCTTCATCACAACTCATTGCCTTCTCTAGTTCTTTTCTTGATTGTGCGATGATTAAAGACACCCTGGACTTCAGATGAAAAGGACAATATTTTTACCCCCAAAACCAAGTAAGGAAAGCATTCCCCTTTAATCCTTGCGGCAAATTGTTACAAGGCCAGAGGAAATATCACCAGAAGTTATTTTGTGAATACACAAAGCAGATCTCAGGTCTCATAAACAAGGGGATTTCTCAAGTACGATCACTTTAAGGCTGTTCTTGAACTACTAGGATCAGCTAATCATGATCCTGATCCTACAAACCGTATTTTTGCTCATCTGGTTCTTTATGCTGCATTTATTTCACGCATACATTTTTGTATATTTTCTTTAATTTCTTAATATTCCTTACGGGTCCGTGATTGATTTGAAAAGTATTGCCACCAACTGCTTCCGGGCATTAGCAGAGTTTTGTGAATCTCAAAACAAAAATATTCGGAGCCCCCCGACTGATCAAAATCTGGAAGTCATGAAATAATTACCTTGCATGATTAGCTACTAAATCTGCACGGATATCACAGAGGATATCACAGACACTTTGAATTGATGCTTTCCCAGCGGTTGAACTATCAAATCTTCCCCAAGTGTCAGCAAAAGTTTGAATAGAACAAATACATACGCAAGGAGTGAAATATCACAGCACAGAATCTGTTGCAGGTTCTTGAAATGTAACCCATCTTTAGCTTTGTAACCTTTCACCCTTGCTCTCTGAAAGCACATTAAGACAATGATACCAACTTTTCCGTTTCATAGTGTTTTTCATCATACCAACAATCTGAAGTGCTTTATAATTACAATTATTATCCCATTCTTTAGGACAAGACCAGTCAGCAGCATGCAAGGTCTGCCCTAACAGGTATCCACTATTACATCTGGGTAGAGAGAGGCAAGTAAGGGTAAAGCAACTTACCCAAGGTCACGATTTGTAACCAGCTGCTCATGTTGAACCCCATGATCAGGAGTCCAAAACCTTAACCACGAGGTGACATGCTGCCCCAACATGCAACTGTGAAAGTGCTTTGGAGGGTGTCCCTGAGCATATGACGACTTCCAAGCAGCAAAAGTAGTGCCATGTCTATACCTTCTCTGTCACTATGCCCAGATTTCCCCAAGGACTGTACTCCTTGCAACGAACTTCCCCATTCTCACTACATCAGCTGGGGACTTCCTCCAAGTTGCTGTCTCCTCCATCTGCTGCTGCTGCCTTGATCATCTGGGCCTGCATAGTAGCCAGCTGCTCTTTGGCCTTCTGGGAGACTTTGCTGGCCACAGCCAGCTGGGCCTGAACTAGCTGAAGATGCTGTCCAGCTGTCAAAGCAGAAAGCTCAGCATCTAAAAAGACAGGAAACAATTTATTCTGATCTTATTAAACATACCTCCCTTGGAAATTTTGCTTAGCAAAACAATGCAATAACATAAGGCAGTGCACCAGAACTGGTTACCTGGATACCCAGCCAATCCTGCTAGGAGTCGGATCTACATTATTCAACAAAGGTTCTCTTGCCAACTTTACAAATTGCTTTGTAATCCTGAGACAATAAACAGAGAAAGGTTCTTAATTCCACTTGTTGAGAATTTCCAACATAAAGCACAGACAACAACAAAAATAAATGGAAGAGGCTTCCAAAATGAATGATGCAAGACACCTGTAAAGCTCGTTGTTCACACTTCATTGTTCACACTACCTTGCTGTGTAGGGTGTATCAATGTAACATTATGGTACTATCATACAGATCTTAATCAACTACCTGTACAAGTACATCTATTGGTTTGCTTTTAATAAATCTACCCAGGTAACCATATAACTTCAGTTGGTTACCCAGTTCCCTCAAACCTGTAAATGCAGAGCCCCAATCTATTTGCAGAAGTGTATTAGTTCATTCGTTGCACTGGAACAAAATTGGGACATTACACAGTATGCAAACTCCTAGTGGATACACTGTACAGTGTTAACAAAGCAAGCAGTGCTCTTCGTAACAGGTAAGGAAGTTGAGAGGAATAACTGAAGAGTTTCTGAATATGAGAACAGTTAAGCATCACTCTTGGGCTGCTGGGGTGAAAGACTAACATGTAAATGATACTTTCAAATACTCTCTTCCACATTGCAAGATACAGAGTTTGCAAAAAGATCCTTTCGACTAGAATAAGTGGTAAGTTAACAGTTGGCACATTTAAGGTAGCCTTGGAAACCATGATTTCTCAGGACCAAGTTTGTTAATCTTTGCAAATGTTAGTATGGGTTAACAACTAATAGCTTATAACAACTTATAACTCTAATTCACAACTTAAGTGAAAACAGAAAACTCAACATCATGTTCAACCATTTTTTAGAGAAACAATCCCAGGAGAAAAATTCAAAAGTGGAGAGATTAAATTGTCCATTTACCTGCCTGATATGCTGCTTCAGCTGCTCGTTCAACAACCAAGATGGCTGATGTCAGCATAACATTAGCATCCTATGGGTCAACAAGAGAAAAAAACTGTCATGCAAGGGTGTTCAAAACTTTAAAAATATTTGATGCCTGAATAAATCCCTATGACTGTTGATATTCGATCATGTGTAACTGAATTACATGGCACAGCCAAAATGCAAAAATGGAAGTTCCATACCATGTAGTCTCACTTCACAGTCACAAGAAATTTTTGAACTCATAGGTGAGGCACAGATTTTTTTCAAAAGTATTGATGCACTCGCGCATAGAAATTTAGCCGTTTAGTGGCATGCACCCTGTGGAAAAGTTGCATGTGCCTGCCAAACAGGACCTAAGCTGAGCCCCTAGGCAAAGCAGAAGACAAGTTGTTGTTATCCTTGCCTTAATGGGCCAAGAAACATTCCTATGAACCATCTCACCTCCCCAGGGAATACACAACCATCATTACAACCATTTCGGGTGCTACTGGGCAATCAACTACAATCACCCTTTCTGTCCTCACGGGTACCTGTTTCTACTCCTGGGTGGAGAGAGGGATATGAAAGTAATGTGACTTGCCCAATGTTGGAGTGTATCACCTAGCACAGGGTTTGAACCTCAACACTACAACTCAGAGTTTCAAAACCCTCCCAACATGGCCATACTTTTACGTCCCAACAGGTAGGCCACACGTTCCCTACTTTCAACTGCTCTCGTACATGTACCGGTACCTCGATTGCTTGCATTTTGTTGTCAATTTCTACCCGTTGATGAATGATGTCTTGCCAGAGGTCATCTTCCTGTGCAGGTGTGCCAACAAACTGGGCATGGTCTTCCAACAGCAATCTCAATGATGTCACCATCTGTAACAAATAAATGTACATTAATAATAAAAATATATATGAACACATTATTTAAACCAAACAATGGAAAGATAGTCTGGTTGCTGCAACTGACAAAATTCAAAACACAACAAAACAAAAAAACCTGAGCATATGATATGAGATTTGGTCTCCAAATAACTTATACAAAGCAATAGCATACACAAAAACTATCCATAAACCTCATAGCTGTCATGCGAAATCACACCTTCAAGTGTTTGAGTTACTGCATAGTTGTAGCTTCTTACACAGCCAGTGTGGCAATTTTAAGCATACAAATACCTATTGGCAAATTAGGGCTTTTCAATCTTGACGCCTGTACATTGTGCTGCGATAGAAAGGTAAAGGGAAAAAGACTTTGATGCAGTATTCTTTGAGCTTACCTCTGCATATTCCTTACGCAGTGAGATAGCTGCCAAGGCAGAATGAGTGAGAAGTATGCAAGATGAATCAACAGCGATGGCGGCAGCATTCTTGATCAGCTCATGATGACTTAAGGATCCTGCATCGCTCTAAGGATTGCATTATTATGAGACATCAGATATACTGTCCAGGTGAAGAAGTTTTCTTGGACACATTTTCTGTGCAGCCTTCTACTCTTCTTTTAATGTCAAACCATATAAGACATCCTTTTGGGATTAACTGTATTGAGAAGTGTTTTAAACTTCCGTGTACATTTACTGTTCAAATTCTTGAGACAGTCTAAATTAGTGTACACAAAGAACAGAAAATCAATTAATAAAACCACTATAGAAAAGGAGGACAAATTGTTTGAATAAATAATTGTAGAGGAGGTAATCATTACAAGTATGCTCATGAAGGCACAATATGTATGATGACCTACAGCTGCATGCTGAATTTCATATTGGGTACATTAAAAAGACATTTCCAATTTCACGTTTGGAATAAACATCTGATGTTTCCAAAACCCAAATACATATACTCGATTGTGCCTTCCAAGCCATAACTTGAGCAATCAATTTTTAAATTTTAACCACGGTAATGTAAAAAATTGAACTTGCTATTTTTGTCAGTGAAAATTAAGCTGAGTAAAGAAATATCAGGGTTGCAATCTGTCACACCTGGAGTGATGTAGCAGAGCCTTGATGGGCCGAGGAATGTTTATCATTACTGCTGAGTGGCACACAAGGTATGGCTGACAGCAACACACCCCCAGTGCCTAGACCACAGAGCCTGACAAGCCAGGGTCGTAAGAGTGATGTGGCTTGCACCCTTGGAGGTTGCAGGCAATGACTTGATGGGATGCATACTGCTTGCCGTTGATACAATACTGACCAAAATCTGTACATGTATGAATATTAATTACCACTGAAATTTATTATTACGTTTTATGCAGAACAGTCACAAAACATCACATATTTCAGACAATCTGATGTCACTTTTTTCATGCATTATCTCAATAAAGGCTACTTATTGCAACAATGGTGAAAAGACATAAAGCAAAGAATAGGTACGAATACAAATTTGTATTTGTTGGTCTTCATTCTGAATTCAGATTTTCTAATGCATTAATTTGATCAGTGGTCATTTGATCACAGAAGTGTCAATGTTCTCCTTATTCCTGAAAAATTTCAGTAAATTAAAAATAAATGCTCTCAAATCACATAACAGATGACAAATAGGTAGTCTGGGAGTAGAACTTCTATGGGATGACTATTTTATCTAGTTCACAGATCAAGTAAGAGTTCACACCTGGTTATCACTTGACACCCTCTGAACAAACCCTATGAATTTCACTGGTCTGAAAAATTCCAAGTGTTTTCTTAGTACATACATGTAAATGCTTCAATCTTTCCTAGCTTAATTTTGTTTACATGTATTTTATAGACAAAATATCGCTCTCTGGTGGCTGAAGCACATGTATTACTGCAGGGAAAACCAGTGATGTCTGTATGGAATTCTTCCCTAGGATAAGAGCAATGTCTTAATCATTCCTTATTCCTCAATGGTCATGGTTACCTGTTTTGCGCACGTGTTTTTACTACAGCGACAGCAAAACATGAAGAGACCTTGTGAAATTAACAGAGGTTTGTTTTCAAATGTTGCAAATGTAACTGGGAAAACATGTACACACAAGCGTTAGAAATGTTGTTCTGAGGTGTTTGTGAAGACAGAAAGGACAACAGGATTCATTTGTCTTTCTTATATTTATTAAATTTCTTTTTTCTAAGTTACCAATAAAAATGTTTCGGTCAGGGCGAAAAATTTGGGTCGGTCGGGAAATCGGAAGCATTGTTTTAGCCTTTGAAAGTTGGATTCTCCGACCGTCAGACTGTTATTTGGGTACTCAAACGTCGATGTTTTTATATGTTGCATCTTGGCCTATGCCTCTGTTACAAAAGAAGCGAAGTGGAAATGGGGCCAAGTGGGGATGGGGTGAAGTGACCGACACCCACCATGACAATCAATGCAAAACTGCAATTACTGTAACCATAGAGCTACATACCCAGCTAGCTCTGTAACCTACGTGTACATACATGTACCTTTCACAAAACACAAAACGTTTTAAGCCACGGCAAGCCATTCCTTTTAGAAACTTCAAAAGAAAGGGAAAAAACACAGCTTCCACTGTTTACTGATGAGACGCTATGACGCACAAAATTGAATTTTCCCCTTTCAATTCTAGAGAAGAAATCCAGTTTTAGAAGTGATCTCAACTTCATGACCAGCACGCATTACGTCATAATACACGTGTGTAAAAACACAGCGTTGATGGCGCTGTCTGCTCGAGAGTACATGTAGATGGTGCAATTGAAGAAAGCATTTGAAAAGAAAAGGAAAGAGCCAACTCCATATACATGACAATATTTTATTTATCTGGGATTCACCGTTGTTTGGTGTGGCCTACGTGAGGGACAGATAAGGTAAGATTTAACGATTAATGCGACATTCTTCCCGTTATTTTCGTCAACTGTTATGTTCTAGTCGTTCTTGTACACTGTTTAATTCCTTTATAACTAAAATTTTACCATTCATTTGCAGCCATATCGTTGGAAAAGGTAGGATTATAACCTGTCGTTTACAGTGAGTGTGAGGCGCATAGGCCTACGTCAGTACGTGTACATATTGATGTAAGTTGTTACGACTAACGTTACACTTTAAATTACAGCCGTCGTCATTCATGTCATTTTGGTCATAACATTCGCGGCCAGTGGCCATGCATCTTGAGGCGTTTGTAAACTTCTGGACCTCATTCCTATGTACAGATGTAGAAGGAAGAATTAGATTTAAGCTGTCAGACTCACCTAATCAGATGACAATCACAGTGACATTATTTTGTCAAACTCCAGGGTTAATTTTGTAGAAAGAGGGCATGGTTTGATTTTGAGGGAAATTAGGCCTATTGGGTAAAAATGATGATAGACACAGACCGTGTGCGCACGCATCCTCTGAAAAAAAATTGGCGATAATGCCAAAAGGTGCTTGGTAGATTCTCTCTGATTGGTAACTTAAAAGTATCATTTGAAAGCCGATCTCAGGTTGGTTGAGATGAGCCAAGTAAGACAGAGTATTGAAAATAACAGCTGGACCATATGCACATACGTCCTCAGCGATATTGTAAAACCAGCTTGTTAGAATGTCAATGATTGGTTACTTTAAAGTTTCCTTAGAAAGTGGATCTCTGATTGCTTAGAAACATGGGAAAGACTGATCAGGGAGTAAGAATATTGAAGAGAACAGCCACACATTGCCATGTACAAACAGGGGGTCCCGAAGTTTATAATTCCACATCTTGAACACGTTCCACTTAGAGGTGTGATCTGATAGGCCTAGTACTGGGTCAGTTGCATGGTTACCTGCTTCATGTAGAAAGTTACTAAGGTAACTCCTGGTGACAGATGGTGGCAAGGTTTACATTCACGTGTACTTACATTTGGAGGAAAAAAGAAATTACCAGTTCAAATCAGAAAATCTCCTGTCGTTGAGCTCAAGTTGAACTGTTGAAGTTACCATTACTTCTTGTTATGGAGTTCAAATTGTATGCAAATGTAGCAGAGCATTGTCGACATCACAAGGCACTGGCCGAGTAGACCATTCATAATTGAGCCAGAGGAGGGTGCACGCATAAGCTGAAGACTTCCCTGATTGACGTACCTGTAACGTCTGATAGCTGTGACTAAATCGAGATGCTGGACGTTGTGCCATTCAGGGAAGTCGGCATTGGTGTGCTCACACCATATGCACATGGCACAGTTATGAATGGTTGGCTCAGCTGATGCATCATGACATTGGTCATAGTTCCCCTGGATATTAACATACAGTTTAAATCAGTTGTGTTATTTAGTGTCAACATGCACAAAGCGTTAACACGTATAGGATCCTGTCTGCATGCATTTGCAAATGGTTGCTGAGCTAAGATAAGCTAAGCTGTGAAATAGAATTAAGTAAAATTTGTTTCTTCTGCTGTGAAAAGCCCAGGGTTTATACCTGTGAACTAGTTTGGTATCTAACGGCAGATGTGTACCAAAAATGAAGTGCATCCAAGATCATTCTGGAAAGTGTGGCTATATGCCAGCTCACACGTGTTGTTCTTGAATGACCCTGCTGTTTTGAAATAGCAAATTGGCTCATTTTTAAAGCTGCATGTGAATATTCCTCCTGGGTTATGAAGCCCAAAACTGAGAAAGCACTTTTAATGTTGCCCAAATTTACTGTTAACTCCCTCCCTTTGTATTTTGTTTCTAGGAGAATCATTGTAGAGGATCGTCGGTTGTTCTGATTGCACAGGAAACAAGCTCAGTGTCAACATGGATGCTCTTTTCGGGCAGCGCAAGATTAAGTTGTCAGCTCTGACTGACTTCTCACAGTTGTAAGTCTAATTGCATCAGATGTAAATGTGTTCGAACCAAAGATATTTTTAGTTTTATTTTGACTCATTCAAGCCTGATGAAAACTGACGTAAATATGGTAAGCTGTTCAATGGAGGTGCCTTTTAACATTTTTTTCACATAGCGCCATCCAGTGACCCCAGTGCCGTTTAAGTGGAAACCGGGCAGCTTTCAAGGTCCCCAAGGTGGTATTCGCCTTATCTTGGCCTTGACTGATAAAAAGTGGTGGGGTCAGTTTCACTGGCCTTACAATTTACATGAGGTCAGTGCATTAAGAAGCAAACCAGTGCCACGAGGGTACGTTTTTGAAAGGTACACTGTGAAATCTTCAGTCTCTCTGCCATTGTAGCTTAAAACCTCTCGATTTCCCCACATGTACCTTAATGTTTCATCATTATGCTGTGATATGGCAGGTCTGCCAACTAGTACGATTTTGGCGTATTTTGTACCAAAAATTGATGAAAATATGACTGTACGTTTAATCACCATAAAATACGGATTTTGATTGTGACACGGACAGAAAAAAAGAGGGCGCTGTGTGAAATCCAAGCTAAAATAGCTAAAGTGGCTGCAAACAAGACTAAGTCACATGTCATGCAGTTCGATATCGCGAACTCGTAAAGTAGAGCATTTGTGATTGGTGTACGTGATGTACACATGCCCCTGGTAACGCACATATCAACCAATCGAAATGTCGCATACCAAACCAATCAGCATGCATTTTGGAGTATACGTTCGTGTGCATGCAAAACAGATCATAAAACTACATGAATGAAGATGGCTTCAACGTCTAAAAAATACACCCAAAAACAGAAACAATCTTTCAAAAGGGAATATACAGAGAAATTTGAATTCATATTACCTTCCCAGAGAGATAAACATTATGCTTGCTGCACTTTGTGTAGTTATGACTTCAATATCGCGCATACATTGGCACAGTGGGAAATATGATGTATCTCACTACATCGAAAGCAGTAAACATGGGGTCATGCTATTTAGCATCAACGGGCGTCAACAAAGCATCAACTAAATACTCAAGCATTTTTATACAAATATTTTATATTTACGATATTAGTAAGGCTCCTACATATCATATTCAATGTATCATATTATCAAAAATGATATTTGAAGGTGGAAATTTGTGCAACACTCGGGCATGCTCGTGCAGCCTGACCAACCGCCATCTTGTTTTGGCGTGGACAGTAGAGTAAAGAAAGATGGCGGCCTCCATACATTGCGAAAAAGTTTTGTTTTTCTGCGTGAATCTGGAAGCGAATTCAGTGTTTCTTTACACAGTGGCAGGTCTTAGAGTTTCTAAATTTAGATAAAACTACTTTTAAATACTCAGAGGGTATTTTCAAGTTGTTGACACTTTGTTAACGCTAGTTCAAGTACTAGTTGTATGTGCTGACGCTAAATAGCATGACCAGTAAACACCGTAACATCGCTGAAACGAAGACTGCAACCCACAGCACTGCAGTCCTGTCAGACTCTCTCACAAACAAAATATACACCCAAGCCACAGCCAGGCCATGGCAGCAATGCGTACACCAAAATGAGTTGTTGTGTAAATGCAAGAAAGCAACTGCTTTGAGCAATACCAGGAAATTATAGGGTCCGTTTAAGCCTGCACGAGTAAGTATGAAAGTTCAAATAGTATGTAGTCAGGCAAAGGTACTTATAAGCTTGTCTTTCCTGTTCGTTTGGGAAAATACAGATTTTTATTGAAAAATAAACATTTGGAACCTCCGAATACACTTTTGCAATTCTAAAGGTTGGCAGATCTGCATATATGTATTCTTCAAAAGATGAACCAAAACATGCTCACTCATGCCAGTTTTCAAAACTGCTGAAAGAAAGACCTCGGTCATTTTACCACTTGACACCGGATGACAAAACACAAACAATTTTTCCTTAACTGTTCCAAGGAGGACGTAGACACTCGTTTAAGAATCCTTTTTTTCATTTCCGCGGTTAGTGTACATGTACGTGTATCAACACATCATGCTTGGTTGGGTCAAAGCATGGAAGATGATCCTACACACGAACTCTGTTACTAAGTAGCCCCACCCCCAGCCAACATTAAAACAGAAGTACCCTTTTTGAGTAATTAGAATTGAATGGGAGCGCCCACACCATACACAAAAGAGCTAAGAGGATTAAAGGCCTCCTTTGTTTTGGAAAGCCAATTTGCTTGGGAGTGTTCAAAACTACACTAAGCCAATTTGCGAGGGAGTGTTCAAAACCACACGAGAGATAAGGTTACAACTAGCAACTCCTTGGAATCAAAACATCATACATTATAGACCTTTCATATGTGAATCGGTTGACGTGTAAACATGCACCACAATTTTTACCTGGGCAGTTGAAAAACAGGGAAAAAAATGAAAATACTGATGCCTAAACTCAAGAGCTGTGCCTCCCTGCATATTTCAAGGGCGTCAAATAAGTTCCAACATTGAAGAATATGCGCAGAAAAAACCCTGCCCCCAGCAGCTTTTTCAGGTAAGAAAATCTGATGTTAACGGGCTATAGTACTAGCTTGCGCCTTCACATTCATAAAAATGATCAAGCAAGGATAATCAAGAAGACTGTCCTTTTTGTGGATGTTACTGGTAGTTCGGCTTCCAGTGAAAATTAAAGGGAATGGGACTCATTTGAAATTTGCAGTCAAACTATTTGTTCCAGATGACTTCAAACCAGAACTTCTCTCAATAACAAAGAGAGCATCTACATTAGTTTCCCACAGATGTAATATAAACCCCTCAAAAAGACCTTTAGAAAAATGAGCCATGCAGAAAAGGTACAAAATTGACGGCAACTAATTATTGATCAGCTCTTCATTCCATAGTCGTTTATTAAAGCACTCCTACTATACCAGCAAATTTTCCAGCTGCCAAAAATCATCTGTAAGTTTAGCTGCATCAGGAATACACAATATATGCAAGGTGCTGGTTTCGAACACCATAATTAACAAAATTTTGTTGATGTTCAAGAATTTTGATGGAAAATGCACGACGTTCGACATGATCGAGAGTGCTGTCTTTTGTGACGTCAGCACTCTCCACGGTGATGTTCAGTATGCTGTTGTAAAATATATCCCAGCTCAACATTACAAAAAAATTTAAGCCTCAAGGCATTTGATTTCCATCAAGAACCACAGTTTATGACTCGAGCATCATTGTTTTTTATTTTTTTTTATTGTTGACATTTTTTAAGGAATCAAATGTTGTTTGCAATGTCCAACTGCAGGACCAGATCGTCACATACTGTATCTGACCATCCGGTCAATCGACCGTCATGGTGATTTTCAGATTTTATCTCACAAATTGACGATAACGTTTGACAGCAGGAGTCAAAGTATTGCTCATTGAACCAAAAATACAAATTAGGAAATGATTTCAAAGACCAATTTTGGATCTGTTATCAAAAAAGGTTTGAATAAAATATTGAAAATAAGCACAAACTAACTGCTTAACTGAAAATGTGTTCTTGAAAACGGTAATATTTCATACTGGTTGGTTCGTTAGATACATGTATGCGACATTTGTGAAATATTCACTTTGATTTTGTGATTTACATGAGTAAAATGGCATTATTTGTCACTTCTTAAAATTTGTTCAAAACGTATGACAGGACTTATTTACTTCCCTTTAATTATTAGGTGGCTAGGAGTTATAGGGTCTTCATGTTGGTCAAAAAAGGCTGACTTTCGAATCCTTAATTAATCAATTCTGATAAAGATGAAGGATGGACACGGTAATCAATGTTCCGGATATCAATCATGGCAATCCTCATTTCATCAGACATCCATTCTGTTTATGCAGGAAATAAGAACCCTCAAAATTCATGATTCTTTACAAAAGGCCCATATTGTGTGAAACCTGCCATACATTTATGTTCTTGAGACTGGGCGTCAGTTGAAAAATGTGCAATCAATTGCAGTTGTGTGGACTGCATTGAGGGGTGCATTCATAGTAAGAGTAGTTTTCAGGGAAGTACAATGTACATGTAGCTCATCTTGGTTTGGGGTTGGGAGCAAAATGGCATTTTGTCTAAACAACAATTTCCAACTGTTTTTACATGTAAGAGAATGAAGAAATTGCAGGAAAAACATGAAAAATCAAAAATTAAATAAACACTGTAAGTACATGAGAATTTCTGCATTTGAAATTTGGACTTTGCAATGATCAGGTACAGCTCTGTGTTGCCAAGGTAACAGACTAACACTTTTGTAACCTCCCTGTTTTATATAATGTGGAATCAATTTTGGTTGTTTCCCCAAATGCTACATGTACTTTCGGCACATTGCTCAACTTGATAATTTTCTGTAACAAAATTTGAAACTCAGGATTACATTTGCTCAGAATGTGACTAGAGTCATACTTCTAGAACATTAATAGCTTAATTGTTGCGTGGAATTTTCACCCTTTTGATCATTATTACAGCCAAAAAAATACATAAAGAGTTACATATCACTCATTTATGGACATGAGTGGCATATCATTGCTGTGCAGCTCATTAAATAATCCAATAAAAATACATTTGTAGTCTAGGAAAAACCTGCATGTTTTTTATTCAGTTAAAATGCTCTTGCTACATGTATTTCATGAGTCAAAAACCATTTTATAAAAGAAGGCTCAAGGCAAAGTACATGTAAGCGACTCAAAATGTCATGAGCAAGAAATTTTCCATCATTCCCCATCAACCAATTGGTGGGTTGTTTGACATGTATTCTACCATTTGATAGAACATTGTGTGGTTGAACACAGCTTACAAGGACAAAATGGCCAGCAGTACCAATAAATGCAAAGTGTTGTTCCATTTTGTGTTTAGGTGAAGAAATTATTCTTCTGTAGTCATGAATATTCATTACTTGTGTAACAATTCCTTAGCATTGTACTTTTTCCTTAGCAGGAATCTGCAGTTCCTCTTGTATTATTTGGTGTTGTCTTCAAGTACATTGTACGTTGCAATCACTTCTACCCTTCTCAGCAAATGGAAGATTTTCTCATCCATTTAAAGGGCATTTGAAAAAGATTGGTGTATGTACATATACCTCCAGCATGCAGTACAGCTTACTGGTTGACAGGTCTACCGTATTTGGCAACGCCATGGTTACAGAGATGTACATGTAAACATGTAGACCATCATCTACAGTGCATACCATCTTCCAGCTTCAATTCTGTTTCTGTTCTTGTAACCTTTCCCAGGAACAAGTCTACACGCACACATCTGAAGAATGTCTACAGCTGCTTGGCCATTTCCATGTTGGCCGCAGCAGCTGGCGCCTACATACATCTCTTCACTGGAATCTTACAGGTACGTGTATTGAGCAGATGCAGGTTATGACTGAAGTTGGACTCTGCAACTTCGCCGATTGTCCGAGGTACATGTAGTTTACATCAGTCAGACTTTGAGACATCATGGATAGATGAAATATTTCCACAATCGGCATTACAGGTTTGGTCCCGTCTGCCTCTCTTCTGAATCTCTCTTAGTCATTGTTGAAGTTTGGCCTTTACCTTGAGTGGTCGATTAGACTCCTTGAGTTTATAGCCTGGACTCCTTGAATTTAAAGCCTGGACTCCTCGAGTTTGAAGCTTGCGCACGGAATTGGACATGTATTCAGGAAGCGTTATGGTCTGTCACAACAGTGACAGAAAGTGGAGTGGTGATGTGGTTAGGTGAACTGGTCAAATTGGAAAGGTTTGCAGCAGGCTCAAAACAAATTGACAACAGCAGGGTAGATCACCTTCATGAAGTGATCATGTAGCCTATGCAAAGCCATTCATTCTCACACAGATTTCTCCTTGATTTTCAACAGGCTGGTTTCTTGACATCCATTGCTGGCCTGGGACTGCTGATCTGGTTGGGCGTGACCAAAGATGACGGCACCAATCAGGCCAAACGTCTAGGGCTCCTCTCTGGATTCGCCTTCTTCACAGGTAGACCTGTCTGTTTTTTACTTTTGATCAGTGTTGTTTTGGAGTCTGTCCCAAGTCCCTCAAGGTCCGTTACTGTCCTCTAGTCTTAAGCCAAGTCGTTGTTCACCCTGTTACTCATATCTGGACACTTGTGATGAACTTGAGGAGAGACTTGCTATAGGACTGTGATGACTTGCACAGGTTTGATAGATGCCCTTGGAGACTCTTTCCGACTGAGATGAGAGGCAACCACCAGATTCTGTTTCATTTGAGTTTTGTGGTACAGTTTGATAATTTCAGTTCAAATTTGCACACACTTAGAATCACTAAAATCACCTGAGAAAAGCAATAACAAAACACAGAACCGGCAGCTTATTAGATCGCGTAGGAAAAACAGCTGGGCCCAAAAACAAAACCAGCAGAAATTAGACCAGTTTACGTTCTGTCAGAGGGATCAATCCTAAAGGACGAAAGCGAATATTAAGATTACATTTCTTGGGATTTACAGTTCTCAGTGAGCTGAAATATCAGTGAGTTGAGTTTTCAACGTGATATACTTGATATTTGAAGTTCTCTTTGGAATGCAGTGCACACAAACTAATGAAGCACATATGAACAAATACTTCTTGTGTATTTCATACCTGTATGATCTAATATGGTTTATGTTGCTTTGAGTATTATTGATTATAGCATGTTAACTGTTCATTTCAGGTCTTAGCCTGGGACCTCTGCTGAACATTGTAGCGAGGATTGACATCCAGTGAGTAAAAGCTTGGACGTGTGTTATTAATAGGCACCAGTAAACGACATCAAATTTTGACAAAGGAAGATGGTTCTTTGAAGCAGTGATTATTTGCTGGAAGATTGGACCGGTTGGCCTGTCTGCTTAACCCCAACTCCCCAGAGTGATTTACTAGGAACCATACCCATTCACACAAATTCCAACACCATATGGTAAACTGTGCACAAAAAAGTGTTGGACTCTGTTTATTTTGGGTACGCCTGAACCCATGTTAAAGCACAAGCAGTTTAGGGGTACAGTACCCAGTGCCACAAATTCACACACTTTACTGGTGTTCAGTTCTGTGTGGTTTATAGGGAAGGTTACGGTTAATGAGTCAATTTTCAAAGACTTCTTGGCTATTTTCTGGGATTGATTTAAGCTGAGCAACTGAAGTCCCTGTGTCCTCAAGCAGGGCAATTTACAGCATATGGAACCTGATGAAATTGGCTTCGGTAAACTCAGTGCTTCTGTTGCCATCTGTACATAGTGGCTGTGGTAGATGTAGGTCGTTGGTAACCAGGTCCGGTTTGTAAGGGGCTGGGTCATTTCCTTGAGGGGCCTTTAACCCCTTCACCTTTATTTTGACCGCGACTGCTGGGCTGCGGCATGCCATGAATGGAGGCCATTGTCCAGCAGCAGGCCCCATTGAACCAGCAGCTGCATGGTGAATAGACTGTATGTGTGGTATGCACTAATCCTCACACAAAGGTGCTGTAGTAGCAGTCTTCCGCAGCGAAGGGGTTAATTAATTTCATCTTAATGTTGGGACTGCTCATATTTTGACGTTCTTCAAATACCAGTTTGGTGAGCATACCGTCCCCATTCCTCCCCACATGCGTAATGATATCCTTGGTTCTGCAGTTAAATCATCGTTTCCAAGTTGAATTTGCCTCGCTTTGCATTGTTGGTTACTTGAACCAACAAGGTTGCAAGTTGGGATGCCCAGTCAATATTCTTTTTTGTTCACTGCCTACTTATTGTAAATGGTGAAAGATGTTGCTGACAGTGTTGTAGACCATCACAAGACACAAGACCATGCCCAAGGCCATTCGTAAGCCCCGTCACAAGCAACAGGGTGAACAGTGACAAAAAAAGAATGCCTTTGCTGCGGTTCATTTGAATAGCTTGTGACTTGAATTTAGAGTGGAGATCTGATGTCTTGTGGGGTCTTGTGTTGGTCTTAAGAGGTCTTGACTACAGTACTGGATGCTGACTTGGACTCAGTCTCGACCAGTCGGACTTGACAGTGATTGGGGCTCAACCAAGAACTGCTCAATGTGGCAGACTTGAATATTTACCAATGCAGAATCTACCTAGGAAATATTTTGGTATATTTTAGAGGCATGATAAACCTCAAGCAAAGACTCAAACCCAGGTCAGATGGCTTAAAGTGCCAAGCCTGTCTGTTAGAATACCAGTTTGATTAAGTTCAGGTGGTATTGAAAGGGTATTGATTGGAGTTAGGCCATACGCTCATGACAAGCTCAAATGGGTCATGTTCAGTTTCTGTCTAAACTGAAAATGATGGTTCGTTTCTCAGGATCATCCCAACTGCCTTCTTGGCCACCTGTGTCATCTTTGGATGTTTCTCAGTGGCTGCTCTGTGGTCTGAGCGACGCAGCTTCTTTTTCCTGGGAGGTAGGTTAATTGATTTTGCTCTGAGAGTGCCATGTGACCTGATGTATGTCTGGTACAACCAAAGACTTATGGTACCACACACGATCCTGATATAGCAGGCAATCCTTCAAAGCTTTATAAATGGCAAAAGTATGAGAAACTAGTACAGTACTTGTAATTTTAAGCTTTACAGAGATCAAGTGTCTTCTTAGAGTTGAAGTTTGACTGTCTGGCAAATTTTCTTGTCTGTCAGGCATGCTGTTCTCTGGCCTGTCCATCCTGATGTTGATGTCACTCCTCAACATCTTCATTGGATCTGCTCTCATCTTCAGAGTAAGTTCATGTTGCAAGAAGCTGGTTAACGGTTTTGTCATGTTCTCTGCATTTCTGCAAATTTGTGCATAATGCCCCATGCTGGTGTTGAGTACAAAAACGTACAGTAACCGTCCCTGATTCACAAGGGTAATCGGCTGTGTACTTGAATGCAAAGTTTCTTCCTTTGAATGCATTGGCACTGGACCCGTAGACATCCATTCCACTCAACTTGGCCTCATGGAATAGACCTCATAAGCTGTCACCTTATGACACTATTCTTGCTAACATTGCTCTCATAAACCTACATTAGTTGTGTTTTACATATATGTCAGTGAAGGGCAGTACTCGGTCTTAACAAAGAAGACTAGCAGTCCTATGATGAGACTTTGTATCCTCCCTTCTTGTTAAAGTTCACATTGTTGTTTAGTTGCTGTCTGTGCCTGTGTGGTCCACAGAAATAGTGTCATTTGATTGTATTGTTTCACGACAGGTTGAGATGTACCTGTGCCTGGCTGTCTTCATGGGCTTTGTGCTGTTTGACACCCAGCTCATCGTGGAGAAATGCAACAATGGCGACAAAGACTACATCTGGTACGTCCAACCAGGCTTTCAGTTAGGATTTCCAAAACAGCCGGTCCTTCCGGTGGTGCAGCTCAACAGTACCTGTCCTTCGGGATCTGCAAGTACTATACGCCGTCCCCATACATGCATTGCAATGGAAATAGTAGTCTGGTTCCCTGACCAGCAAACAGTGACACTTTGGGCTGTTTGATATGTACAGGGTATGATGGTATGATGTGCATATAAGCTTTTTGTAGCTTCCCATCTGCGTTAAATATACACACACCTGTTTTTGACAGTCACATATCCATTAAATCAAACATTTGCTCTGTCTGCGGTTATGTGTGTGCACCTTTACACAATTAATAATCAATACATCAGAGGCGATGAAGGTGTTGCCTGCATAGTGGTGTGTGTTTATGGGTGCTACAGGTCCCCTATTGATTTCAAATATGGGACTTGCAAAGGGCTCAGTCAATTCCACCTTCAATTCGATGTAATATCTGAATATTCGGTCATAACGACTTGCAGATTCATGTGAACAAACCGTATACAAAATCAGTAGCAATAACGCACACAATGTACATTATAATCACTTTTATAGTTTCTCATGTGTAGGACTGTCTCCAGGCAGTTTTAGCAAGATTTGAGAGATGAACAAGACTTCTTGCCCTGTTGAAAATTTCCATTGCTTTGAAATTTTTTGATGAATAACTTACCTTTTGAATCGTAAGATTTCTGTCACCTTTTCACTTGAATCTGCTAGAAACAAGCCTCCATAGTGCAATTTTTCTCTTTAAAAACAAAAGTAAATTCTCCCTTTCTTTTCATGAATTTTGCATTCGAATATTCAAATTCAGAAAAAATTATTCAAATATTTGATAACCGATCAAATATTCGGATATTCAGCACAGCTCTAGACCTGCAAAAGAAGCCTAGTTTCAAAATTCAAGTGAAATGGAAAAACAACACGAAAAATGGACTCAAAATGAGCCAATTCTGCCTTACCTAGAATGCGTATCAAGCACCTTTCGACATGCACCTTTAGCAAAATTTCCCCAGAAAAACTTTTGTGATTCCCGTAAGGACATCTAGGAACTTTTTCTCATCATCAGTTGTCAGATACTCAGGTACCAGGTTCCTATGTCCAGTATTATTTTGACCGAGACTTTTGACTTTCGAAAATGATAGAATCAAAGGCCACAAATACTTACTTGTTTAGAGGCATTTGAACATAATTTATGTGATATTTCATACTGCCCACAGAGATATTTGCTACCATAATAGGCCATGCACAGCCGTAAAGTTCAATTCCAATGTACAGTATGCCTCCACAGACTTCCTGGACTTCGTGTGTGTGAGCTAAATAAGTGGTAGATTAGCATGTTGAAAGCTCAGCTGCATTTGAGTCAAGCTGCACATGACATTTTAACCCTACAGCCTTGCTTGTGTATACAGATCGTGTTTACACGTCCTTTTTCAGAAAGTGATGAGACATCACAGGTTCAATGGCAAGACTGGCACCAACATAGACTTTATTTATGGGCCGGTCAGATTGAAGTTGAAAGCGAGGTTAAATCTTCATTTTTGAAAGTAGAAAGTAGAAATGAAAACAATAAAATGAAATTTCACGACAAATTCTTACCTGTCTGCTCTGTTGAATAATGTCAAATTTGTGGATAGACATACAAAAAGTACTTCAGTGTTGATTGATTTAGGAAAATATTGCAAGGGAGGCTTGGAACGCATGGCAACCTTAAAATAGTCTGGTGCTATCCTAATAGTTTGTAATTCATGAAACAGATTCAAGGAATAAGATCAAAAATGGCTTCCATGTGAATGAGGTCTTTTCTGAAATTGAAGAACTTTTAGAATTTGTATTTTAAATTGCACATTTAAAAGCTGAGGACATAACCAGCAGAGGGCTGCTTGTCAACAAGATTGATAGTTATTTTCTTTCTTCACGTTTTTTTTTTGACATGGTTGCAGGCACAGCGTGGATCTCTTTCTGGACTTCATCAACATTTTCCGCCAGCTGATGATCATCATGGCCATGAACAGCAACGGCAAGGTCAGGAACTTGGTTATTGAACAACAAGCCTGAAATCTGTATTTGGAAATTATCAAACAAAATTAATCCCCACCTGTTCACTTTTGTTTGCTATCGCTGATGGTATGATTGGCATATAAGCTTTTTGTAGCTTCCCATCTGCGTTAAATATACACACACCTGTTTTTGACAGTCACATATCCATTTAATCCAACATTTGCTCTGTCTGCGGTTATGTGTGTGCACCTTTACACAGGTGTTGGATATATATCCCATCGGTGCTGTGCTTAGAATGTCAAATTGCTTGGTTCCGATGTGGCCAAGTTTGTGGTGGCACCGTGGAACATCTCTTTTAGTAGTGAGTGGGGTTCGGAAAAAAACTGGTGTATTCATTGTTTGGGGTCATAAGCATACTTAAGGAAATGTTGAGTACACAGGTTCTTTGCACAACCACTCCTTAAAGAGTTTTACATGGTGCTGTGGCAAACTTGATCACATTGCAACATTAACCATGCAAACCTTTATATGGCTATTGGGTTTACTTAAATAAGATTTTCAAGTCTGTAAAAATAAAGGATCTAGAAATGCATTTTTTTTTATTATTAACCCCAGTGGCTTTCATGCAGTCCCCTTTATCCTTTGCCCCTCATCCAGCCTGCAGCTTTCTTGACCTTTCCTTTTGTCCTCTTGCATTCATCCATGCTTGGTTGATTCCCCATTTGTTTGTTTGTCCTGTCTACTTGTTATTTTGCCTTTGAGAAAGATTCTGCTAGGATTGAAACGTCAGGCCCTCATATTTTGAGATTTGTGTTTTAGGTCATTGTAGTCAGCAAGCAGTTTGCAGCAATTTTGTGTTGCATATCTTTGGAATTT